AGCTCAGTTGGTGAGTACTTTCACTATTGAATTGGAGGTCATGTGTTTGAGATTTTTCAAGAGCAATATTTTTTATAATTTTTTGTATTTCAACAATTTTTATCAAACCAAATGTAAGGAAGGCGATTTGAACCTACTATCTTCCTTAAATATATTAATCACTTTACCATCATAGTACTTATTAATTTTTAGTACATAATGTAACAAAATAATATATATTAAATTTTACTGGTTTAGTGCAAGTAGAAACATTTTAATCGATGTTTTGTCCTCTTCTTGATTTTTTTTCCCTTTAATCAATTGATTTGAGAGTTTTTGGTCAATTAATGGTTAGATGAATTTGTAGGAAATTTGGCCTAAGTGTCGTAAGGAATCTTTCAACAAAACTTATTTAATTAATAAAATGTTCAACTTTTTGTTCACAAAAAATCAATTGCAAAAAAGTAAAATCATACAAGCACGTAAATAATTTCAATTTTATTAATATAATAATGGTTGTTTAATTAACTTTAACTGTAAACTGAGTATTGGCTTTTTGTTAATATATTTTGTCTATTTAATTGAAAAATAAATTAAGGCATTTTGCAGATTATGGAACGATTTTTTCATTTAAAATGAAAGTTCGTACCTAATTCTAATTCTAGTGGTGTTTCTAGTTCATCTAGTTCTAATTCGTACGATTTTTTGAATATTATTTAATCAAATATTAATAAATAACCTCATTATCATAGACGTTGGTAGTCGATAGTAAGCTTACAATGCTCATAATTTGTCCTAGTTGAACTCGATCCCCAAATTCGTCTTTGTCAATCACAATTATCAACAACAATTATATGCATAACTCTATTCTTGGAAGTGACTAATGAAGCCAATGCAGCATCCAAGTAAAAATATTTAGAGTCAGTTTGCTTGTGGTTATCATCATTATTTATATTTCTTTGGAAAGAAGAAAATGCCGCCAAGACATACTCATGCAAACCTCATCTTTTTCTTGTTATACAAGTAATCCATGAAGTATCACAGCCGTCAAAATATCAAGGCCAGATATGAAAAATCACCTAAAACCATCAAACATATAATATTATTAATATTATAAAATTTCCTGAAAAATATTAGTAACTGCCAAATGATACCGAAGCATCACAAAGTTACGACTGAATTAAAATAAATTAAATTAGATGAATTTGTAAAATAGACTAAATTCTTGCTCATGAAGAAGACGTTGTCAAGGTTGGATCAATTAATCTAGTTGTACACAAGAAATTGACAAAATAAGTGTTGACAGAATCTTGACCTTTGATTTCGACTAATTTAAAAAAGTTTTTTTTGAAATGATTAATATAAATGTTGTTTTGTAAACTAATTTTATACAAGTAGCATGATTCAGGTTTAATAGCGTGTCAATGATAAAATTATGTGACCATTTTGAACAATATATGACATACTAGAACAAATTATTGAATATCAATAGGTTAGGAATAATTTTAATTTATATCACTTGTGTTAAACATTGAGCTAGGTGGCAAATGTGCGTCATTAAATGATAAATTCAATTAAATATTAGTGCTTGTTTGGTATAAATTTTGATAATTGATTTTTTGACCGTTAGAAAGAAATTGAGTCCTACTTGTGAGAGAAAAATTCAAAAATGACTGTCAGAATAGTGAAATAACAGTCAAAAATTGATTTTAATTGGCTTTTAAACCCTACCAAATAAGCTCTTAGAGGCTCATGTTTGAATCTCATTAAATTAAATTTTATTTTTCTCTCTCCTATTTTCAACTACACAATCTTCCATAAAATAATATTACACGTAAATCAAATTTTTTTTTTCAATCACTCAATTTAAAAAAAAAAAAAATACTATTTCACCAATTTTCATTTCCAAAAAATGGGCGCCGACCGGTATATAACTTATCGTTCAATATAATATTGATTGGTGGTGCTATAGATTATTACTCATCAAGGTAGTCAACAAATCTCACAATCTCTTTCTCAACTTTCCTTTCGGTCTCTTACCCTGTTTCAATGGCTTCGAACAGAAAGGATGTGAACAGTTCTTCGAGACTCTAGCTGCTAGTAAGTCAATTTTCGCTCTTTTCCTCTATATTAGAGGAAGGGAAGATAATAAGACTAGCTTCATTATTAGAGCCTGATTCATTTTCATGTGTCGAGGAGATTAATCGTAATCTTAATTTTCAACATACCAATGGCACTTTTTCCTCACAAAATTCACGAATTCATAGTGAGTAGGATTGTACAATTAATTCTTTTCTCACAGTATGCAGCAGAACGCAAATTTTACATTCTCCAACTGTAAATTCTATTCTACCAAACAAACACTAAGAATCCGAGGTTAGATATCACTGTTGCAAGATCATCAAACCGGGGACCAAACAAGACCTGGACCCACCTGACCATGACGTGGCAGGAATCAGGTGCTCCACCTGCCAAAACCTCACAAAATAAGAAAAAGAGCCAAAAGGAGAATTAACAAAAGCTGGCTGACAACAAAGTGTGGGAATTGAATGGTGGGGGTTAACATTTAGCAGTAGTGCAGAAAACTGTGGGGTTTTCAACTGTAGAGAGACGAGTGAAGGCTGTAAAGTTGGGGTTTGCTTCAATTCAATGCTCCATAGACAGAGCATCCAATGACATGTAGAGAGATGATTGTAAGTCAAAGCCTCTCTCTAACAATCCAGGGATTTGCCACTTCAGCAATATCTTCATCCCAGCTGGCTACCATTCTATTTAACACATACACTCGTTCACAAGTTAACTGAGACAAATCATAAGCACAACCCATGGGAAGTCAAAAGCATGTAGGAGTGGCAAGTGGGTCGAGGGTTTGTTGGCTTAATAGTCTCGACTCGATCAACGGCATCTTGAGTTCATATTGATATGAGTAAAAAAAAATTCTAGATATATGAACCGACTTTTTTGAACTCATGGATCAGCTCATTTTTTAGTATATTCTTTTATTGTCTTTTTAAAAAGGTTGTTACTCCTAAGCTTTTCGGCTTGACCCGATCCCAAAAGTCAAGCATAATTTTTGACACGAACCAAGCTCGGATGTTTAAGGATCCAGTTGGCTCGAACGAATTCATTACAAACTTTAGAAGAAAGTACAATAGTTGAGTCAAACTCACATAAATAAAAGCATAGACTATAACATGTTTAACATGTTGAATAATAAAAATTAAAAATGAGCAAGACATTACTCTACTGAAGTTCCAAATATATCCTAATTTGTTTTATTTTGATTTTAACTTTTCAATTGTGTTACACTAAGTCACATGGATAACCGAGCAATATTTGAAAATTGACTCTCCAGATTGAACACACCAATTGACCGCTGGATATTTAACCTTTTTCTGCATATTTTCCTGAAAAGAAAACACTACACAACACATAGCTTTCAGATCCTACCATTTAGGAAGGATTCTTTTTTCAGAAAATTTCACCATGACTCAAGTTACACCAATAAATAATTGAAAAGTAACACTAAAACATTTCTTTTAACATCAATTTCAAATTTGCTTCCATTGCTCAATTTCATATTTGCATAAGAAAAATTAGTTTATTTATTTTTCTCATTGAATTTAGAGCCTATTTGGGAGTGATTTTGAAAATTAATTTTTTGACCGTTAGAAGAAAAGTGGGGTCCACCTGTGATAGAAGAAGTCAAATATGACTGCTGAAATAGTAAAATAACGGTCAAAAAATTAATTTTTTGGGTGAAAAAATCAGGTCCAAACAGTCCCTTAGAAGAGGAATAATCTAATGAAAACTTTTTCAATGGAGTCATTTAAGGAAAAAAAAATTATTTTTGAAACGAATAATGTTATTTCTAAATCTAATGTCATTTTTTTCAATAGTGAGTGGTGCTTGCCTTATTATTCCAAAATTTCATTTTATATGAAAATCGAAAATTTTTCTTATACTTTAACCACACATTCTCTAAAAAATTGTTATTTTAAAATGCATTTTCCCTTCAAAATAAGGCTCAAACAAGGGCTAAATATAAAATGTAGAATTCACTTAATTGAATTTTTATTATATTCTTTTGTAAGCCGATATAAATGCTGTTCAGTAGCATTCTTCTTCTCAATAATATGTCAAATAGAAAAAAACGTGGATATGATATTTATACTTCTTTCAGCTTTATTTCTTAAATATTACAAAAAAATAAAAATAAAAAATTGTTTTAAGAATCTTCTAATTAATGAAGAATATAAACACATATATAACTAATGATAAATATGGCGCTGCTATAATTATGAGAATCTCCAGCTATTGTCTTCTTAAGCATGTAAGTCGATGCATCAGTGAATAATATCATACTCCCTCTGTTTCATTTATATAGGTTTATTTCAATTCTCACGCGAATTAAGAAATCTTCTTTAATGTTGTTGAAAAATTAATTTTTGCTAAGATCTTTCGTAATTTACCCCTATTTAATTTTCGATATGTAACAGTAAATTATTATTGGAATTAGTGAAGAATTTGAATAATTTAATTTGAAGAAGAAGAAATGAATTGTTCCATATTTCCAATAAGTGAAAAATGTGTGTATTTAGAATGATTTCAAGAAAATGACATCTCAAGTGGAGAAAATTGAATAAATCAAGAAATAAAATAAAATATTCTAAATTATAAAATAGGCCTATATATTTAGAACAAAAAAAAAAAGAAGATTCAACTAGTAAAATTGGGACGGAGGAAGTATCTAAAATCACTCAAGGGCGAGAGGAGAATCAAAAGTAATTCTAAAATAAATGTTTTGAAAAATTTAAATAGAGGTTTGTTTGCAGCAAATGTTGCGGCCAGGTGGGTTTCACACTGCTTTTTTCTCAATTCTTTCATTGAAATTCGAACGTTCAAACTGCCCATCTAGAGATGCCCTCAGTGTTCCAATGACCCATTATTTAATTCCAAATTACCATATGTCACAAATTATTAAAAAAAGAAAAGAAAAAAGGACATTGTAATTTTACTCACCCAAAAACGTAAATTTCACTACAAATTGTCTCCCAAAAAAACAAAAATATGGAAATGATTTAATGAAACCTAATAACAACACTATTATATGATACAAAATACAAAGGTTCAACTTTTTTTGCAATTTTTGTGGTTGCTTGACTGGGTGGCTCGGAACTCAACATGCAAAGCCATTGGCTTGAGGGAGCTGTTTTTGCCGGTTACAAGAGCTAGGGTGGGGGTGGAGGTGGCGTGGCGTGGCGTGGCGTGGGGAATGGAAGGCAAGTTAATAACAGTATGGCTTCGATAATGGTGAACAAACTCCATCAAGAAATCTGTAAACCATATAATTTCTCTTCCGTCAGCAGCTGCAGCCTCCACTATCGCCGCCGTTTGAGGGGTTGCTTCTGTCATGCGCAACCTCATAATCATGACCGACGACATTATTTACTTCTAACATATCTTCACTGTATTCAATATTATGGTCATAACTGGATTCTGATTCCTCGGTACTGGCAGCGGGAGATGATGAAGATAGAAGCAGCGGCGGTGGACTACCGCTACTAATCGAACGTCCGCCCCAGCAGCCGCCTGTAACTATTGGCATTGGCTCCGTCAATCTCAGCCCATCTCGAGGCGGTGTAAACAACACCGGCATGTACTCCTCCGCATCCCCCGGAAACTTGGAATTCTTGAAATGCTCTCTCAGTGCTTCTATTCCCTTCGTCCATTTCACATAAAATATACATACACTCAGTTTACGAAAATCGTGGTCAAGTAAAGTTTTTGGAAAAAATACCTGTAATCTAGCATAGGTGACTTCACAAATTTTTCTCGAGTTAAAAACTTCCCAGCTTTGACTATGAAATGCTTTGTAGAGTCTTAATGTTGCCTCTGGGGAGGTCATATTCACAAAACCATAACCCACATTGCACTTGTTTCTGCCAAACAAAAACAAATATAATTATTTATCAATTAATCTTAAGTGGATTAGAAGTATGTTTTAATTAAATAAAATTACATGAAATCAATTGGGAGATAGACGAAATCGTAAGCGGACAACGGCTGATCATTGCCGTCGGTAATCTGTTCATTGCAGTGAATGCAGTGGTTGTCCAGCATGTTCAGAAGCAGCTTCTGACTGCACAAGAAAATACGTCAAATTATCCAAAAATAAGTAATAATCTGATTCTTTTTCGATTTTATATTTTTGGCGGGTTTTAGAGGGCAAAATGGAATGAAGAATATTTTGGCTAGAAGAACAAGCCAGCCTGCTAAAATGAGGTAGAGGAGAGTGGAGGAGACAACACAGACCTGTACTTGTTGGGGATGTTTTTTATCATGACAGTAGTTCTGGAATCTCTGCAATTCGATTCCATAATCGCATCTTCTTTGATAAAAAACCGAGGATCATAATCTCTACCATGTTTTGCACCAATCTCCCTCTCTTTAGGTTCTTGTTACACAAGAACATTTCCAGACTCTGTATTTTCTCTCTCTAGACTCTATGTTGAACACACCTACTACCACTTCTATCTATCTAGGGTCTTGGTCTGTGTTTGTATGTATGTGTGTGTATTTATAGAGAGAGAAAGGTGAATATGTATCTATCCGTGTGTAAATATAGAGAGAGAAGGACGATAATGTCATAAAAACAAATCAACTTGCCCGGTTCACGACGTCCTTTTGAGAAACAAGAAGGTTTGATGGAAAAAGCTAGTGTGAAGTTACAAAAATGCCCCTTTTGAAGAAATAACGAAATGTGTGTAAATTTTCGAAATAATTTCCTAAGAAAATAACACGATTCTAATAATTGTTTAGTTTTTTTTTTTATTTAATGAAAATAACAAGAAATTTGCGCTATAATTAGGCCTTGCATCTAACAGAGATTTTGTCGGATTTAAATTCAAGTGTTCAATAGAAGTAATAGAGATTACAAAATAAGCAGTATTACTCGATTATTCAAATCAGAGTACATTATTTGTTTATATAGGCCTCGTTTGGTAGAAATTTTTTGCCCTTAAAAAATTGATTTTTTTACCGTTATTTTACTATTCAAGCCGTAATTTTTGACTTCTTCTCTCACATGTGGACCCCACTTTTCTTCTAACGGTCAAAAAATCAATTCTCAAAATCCCTACCAAACGGGCCCATAAAGTAATTATGAAACTTGAAAAGTAAGTTTGAATCTTTTATAATACTTGTAGCTAAAAAATTAGATTGTATAAATTGATAAAATTAAATAAAAAATGGATAAAATTAGAAATACTTACTCTCATTTGTAATATTTAAATATTTTGATTTGGCACCGATAAATATGCTCCAAAAATCTAAGGGTTCCAATGAAAGGTTCATCAATGAAGGGCAAGTCCAAATTTAAGATGAAACTGAAGGTGTAGCCGATGAGCATATAATTGAATGTTGCTCGAATTGCTCAAGCCATAAATTCAAGCATTACTTGAATTGCAAAAGAGTAACATTTTTTTTTGAGAATTTAATACTTTTGTTGGGTATATTCAGACTATTCTTAATTATAATAAATAATGTAACGTATCACCAAGTATAAGAGAAATTCTATGTGTACAGGGGGTTTGACAGTTTTGTACAAGCCACGTGGGACACTTGTCCTTTTATCATTAGTTGTTGACAAGAAAAAAATGACAACTTCATCAATTTTGTCACCATAGCACTCGTACACTGTCTAATAGTCATTCCCTTGTACAAGTAGAATAACTCCCAAGTATATACGCGGCATGAGCTTTAAATGACATGTTCAATTAAATGTTAAGAGTAACAAAATATATTTATTTATTTATTTAAAAAATGCATTTATTATCACATAATGTAGTATAAACACCAACGATGATATACAACATTACTTAATTTTCATTGTTATTTGAGAATTAACTGAACAAGTATATATTTTTGACATCATCCTATGAGTTCAAAATTTCCTTCTAGGGTATGTTTGATAGGGTCGAAATTGGAATTGAATTTTTCAACTTTAAGTGTTTGATACTTTTTTTTTTACATGGAATTCAAATTCTTGGTTTTATTGAACTTTGGAGTTTTCTTGGTTTTTAGGGATTTCCCACATACTCTGGCATATATTTTTTTCGTTTTTTTTTCTTTTTTGCCAATGGAAGCAAATTTTATCCCTAATTATAAAAAAATATTTTCCTTTAAATGACAATTTTCATTTCCAATAAAGTCAAACGAACACCAAAAGATAGATGATTTTCTTGACTTTTTGATATATATATATTGGTAATAGAAACAAATTCTATCCCTAATACCAGTAAATTATATTATTTTAATAGACAATTTTCATATAAAACAGAGCCAAACGAACACCAAAAATCACTTTTATTTCAACATTTTTAACGTGAAAAATTATAGCAATCAAACACAATAATTTACAATTCTCAAGAAAATAATTCTATATAATTTAATTCCTTGAAATTCGTTTTTTAGACAATTTAATTCCATCATTGTAATCAAACAGAACCTTAATGTTATTTTGTCTAAAAAGGTTCTATTATGTTTGAAGAGCTGAACACTAGTGTAGTCATAATGCGTGATGGAAAAAATTTAAATTATAATTTAATTAATTTTGTTCTTCATATATTATTTATTTATAATTTACAGTTCATGTTAGGACTTGATGAATCATAATTATAATTACTTAAAATCGCTATCAAACGAGAACTATTATCTGTAAAATTGCACCCCGACCGTACACGTGTATAGAATCGGTAAACGTACACTCTTATATGCCAGGTATGCTTTAATTGTGCAGTTGTACCTTTTCCAAGTGAGGGCATTTTGACCAGTAGCCTTGCCTTACTTCATTTGGTGTCCACATTAATAACTCTGTTACACGACTTGTCCATTCCATTTCTGTATACACAAAAGTCCCAAAATCCAAAATACAATGTTGTCTATACATGCACACCCATGTTTTTATGTTTGTCTGTTAGCTTCACCAAGAGTTGTCCAATTTTTTGTTGGAAAGGAAATAGAAATCGGTTCAACGTCTTTAAGAGTGTTATTGAAGAAAAATAGAAGCTCTTTTACATGAGTCGCGTTTTGCTCCAACACAGTTACGAATTCAATCATGAGTTTTGACACGGACTATAATACAAATATATATGAATTTATCTTAATTAAAAAAAGAACTAAGAATAAAGTGGACATTTGCAGGGGAGGATACGGACTATAGTCCGATCGAGCTCGTGCTTGTATCTGCCCCTGCTCCAACATATTAGAAAGAGTGAGCTGATTCTATATGTTTAAATTTGTTGAACCCTTAAAGGGCACGAATGGAGTGATGGGATTGGAGGTTTCAATGTGATGGTGGTTGTGGGAGTAGGGATGACAATGGGACGGGATAAAATTGGGATGATCATTACCATCCCATCTAGTCGGGTATTTTCGGGAGATGGGGTAGGAGGGGAACAACGATGGGACTAAAAAAATCCTCATTTATTGTCTCGTTTGATATTTATCTATTTTCATATATTATCTGTAATTTTTTAAATATAATTTAAATTAAAAGGCATAAAATAATAATATTCGAGACAAGTTTGAGGAATTTTTCGTATACCATTCAGGACGAGACAATGTGGGGCAAATTGGAGGCGAAAAATATGCCATCGCTATCAAGGTGGTGTGTTTGGTACTTTTTTTTTTTGGGGGGGACGTATTTGGTTTATGTTTGAGCCCCATTTTGCAGAATATTTTTATAATTTATTTTTTATTTTTCTTACACAATGTGTCGCTAATAAACATGAAAAAACTTTGAGTTTATGTGCAAAATTATTGGATTGGAAGAATGTGTAATTGCAAATGAATTTTAAGAAAAAATGAGTACTGAACAATGACTTGCTAATGGTGATTGAGGTAACTTGTAGTAAACATTATCTTTAATATCAATGTAGTTTTCAAAATAATTTACCTGATAGATTGGTCTAATATAAATAAAGAGGTTCCCCCCCCTCCCCCCCGCGCCCCCTCTTTCATACACATAGTTGGATTTCAATGCTCCGTACTTGTTTGAGTTCCATTTTTATTGAAGAATGCACTTTGAAATAATAGATTGATAGAAAATATAAAGCTAAGAAAAAAAGTGTCTGTATTTCAATATTGATATCATTCACTAGATTGGATACCATATGAGACAATTACAAAAGAAAAAGTTTCAAATTTTGCCAATTAGCTTGTAGAGTGCTTATTAGCTTGTAAAGTTATGTGTGTTCATTTATGGCAAACATGGTATGTGGTCAAAGATAGTCGGCTAAGTTTAAATTTTTTTGTTTTTAATACTGAGTGTGGATAGATTTTTTTGTTTTAAGTAAAAAAGTTACTTATCACATGTTTGATACAAATTTATAAATGTTATTTTTTTTTAAAAAATTACTTTTCATAACACATTCGCGCAATAAAATAATTTTTATACGTGAACAAATAATATTCTTTGTTTTTAACCATACGTTCTTAAAAAAATCAATTTTGACAAAATCTATTTACAAAGAGACTACATCACACAAACCATTTAAATAAATGACTTATTTTTTTAAATTTCTATCAATAAAAAACTATCTTGTTAAAACAAACTTAATTACTCACATGTATTTTTCTTTGTTGAGTATGAATTATTTACTCACTAGTTTAATTAAAAGTAAACATTTTTAAGCTTTAGCAGGACATTGTTACCAAAATCGAAACAATTTTATGACATTGAACATGTTAGTAAATATAATATTAAATAGACTAAAGTGGAGAAAAACAACTCATGTTACAAATTCCTTGTTATATTACAAAAATCTTATTCTAAATTGTGGAAAGCTAAACCAGATTGTGTGGAAGTCGATAAATATCTCAACGTGCTTTACCTAAAAATATCATCAGTTTCTTGATATTAGGAAATTTAGATCCAACACATTAAGCTAATATGCATGTTGTCATATTCGCTATCTAGTGAGTTTCAATTTGGAAGAAGGCAATCCGTTTCTTGAGGATTGTCATGTTCGCTATCCACGAGTTCCAGTTTGGAAGAAGGGGGCCCATTTGTTTCAACCAAGTTGTCATGTTCGCTATCCACGTGGGTTCTAGTGTAGAAAAGGGACTCGCGTGTTTCATTTGATCCATATATTTTACTAAAGTTGTGCCCGTTTCTTTCAACCAAGTTGTCATGTTCACCATCCACATAGGTTCTAGTCTAGAAACGTGACTCGTGTGTTTCATTTAAGTTGGTATGTGTTAGAATTGAATGAAAAATATTGAATAGAAATAATGAAAAATATTGAATAGAAATCTCTTCATATGTTGTAACTTAAATAACTCTAGTCCCTTTATATTTTTAACTCCTTTATCAACGAATGGTTTAACTCCTTGATTAATGAGCTAACTTTTCCTCCATTGGTATAAATA